TCCGTTTTACTAACATAGTCAATAATTTTAATGCCTGCATCCGAAGTAATTATTTCCCTCAGCAATGGAAACACTCAATAATAGTCAATATCTTAAAACCAAAGAAAGATCCTAAGCTCGTCACTTCCTACAGACCTATCAGTCTTTTACCTTCATTAGGAAAAGTATTTGATAAAATCCTCTGCTCAAGGCTCACTAACCATCTCGAAAAACTCAATTTAATAGATGATCTGCAATTCGGCTTCCGCAGTGGACACTGCACGACTCATCAAATTCTCAATTTCGTGGAATTTGTTTCGCAAGCCTTTACTAAGAAAAACGGGGTGGCTGCATGCTATCTCGACTTCGAAAAGGCCTTTGATAGAGTGTGGCATGCAGGCCTCCTGCATAAATTGAATAATTTTATGCTTCCAAACAGTTTCGTAAAACTCATTAGTTCCTATTTGAAAAACAGGACTTTTCAACTTCGCTGCGGTGACGCCTTATCTGTCAGAAAAAGAATTCATAGCGGGGTCCCGCAAGGATCCGTTCTTTCCCCCCGGCTCTATAATGTTTATATCAATGATTTCCCGCACCCATTCAACACGAAAATACTCAAATACGCTGACGGCACTGTAGTACTGACTGAAGTCCCCAGCTCGCTCTAAGTAATTTACAAATGCATCTCAATATGATCAATCACTGGTGCAAGACTTGGAAAATTAAGCTCAACGCCTCTAAATGTTGTATTGTGCTCTATCGGAGATACAAAACGAGATTAAGAGTTAATACTGATATCTACTTAGATAGAACTCTAATCCCTGTAGCTAATTCTTATAAATATTTAGGTGTTTACATAGACAAGTCTCTCAACTTCAAAGATCATATTTCTTATATCTTAAACAAAGCAAATGCAGCCTACATGGCAATTTATCCTATTATCGGCAAAAAATCGAAGCTCAGTCTAAAAATAAAGAAAATGCTTTACATATCTCTAATTCGACCGATCATGTTATATGCAGTGCCGGCCTGGGCAATCGCCAATAAAACTGAGCGCAAAAAATTGGATATACTTCAAAAAAAAATTCTATGTAGCATTGTGAATGCACCTTGGTACGTGAGAAACTCTATAATTCATAACGACCTGGATATTCCATCTGTGCATAACTTTATAATCATGACAGCTCACAACTTCTTCGAGAAGATGAAGCATAGTCAGTATAACGCAATTAAACAAATGTTAGATTATGATCCAACCATTGAATATACTGTCAAACGCCCAAGGACAATTCATCACAATTCGTTATGGTGGTAACTTGTGAATTTTAATTTTAAAATTTACTTGAACTCTAATTGGACTCTATCCTATTATTTGTATTGCATCTTATACTTATGTTAATCAAGAAAAATTTTTATTCAAGACTTTTATGTTACTATTTCATTTTTTAAATTATTTTGTAGAATTTTTACTTTATCGTATGATTCTACGAACTTTTGAACTTTTTACGGCCTATCTAACTACTGCATACTTCTGAAGGACTTTGAACTCATGCCATTCACAGCTTCAAACTGTCGTGCCATTTTCATGATGTCTCACTATTGCTTATCCTGCACTCTTACTAGCTATATTGCACTCACCACCTGCATTTGCCATACAACTCACTGAACCTGCCTGCATCCTTCAATTTAATGCCATTGCTTACCACTGCACAATTTTTATGATGAATGCCTACTTTCGTAAGTATTAAGATATGCCTGCTCACGCAGCTGAATTTTCTTCGCCCACGGATGCGGGTACTTCCCTAGTACCATTTATTTGAAAATATCTTTGCCTAGTGCACTTTAATGCGATCTACTGGCGAAAACTCTTTAGTAGTTAATGACCAGAAAAAAGTAAGTCATAAGTCAAGTCATAAGTCTTTATCCGTTATAACAGTATTATTGTTTTCGAAGTAAATACTGGCAATGAGAAGTTTTTTAAGTATACTATTCTATTACATTATTTGTTCATAGAAATAACTAACCTAAAACATATACTTCTTATTTTAATAAAAATTTATCGCTGTCAAAATGAGTTAATGACGAAAGTGTTTTCGTCACCAAGTTGGGATAATGGTAAAAGAGCCGGCTGCCACAGCCTTGGATCTAGGTTCGAATCGCGAAAGGCATGAATGTTCGTAAGCGTGTAGTGTGTTTGCAGTATGACATCACCTTAAATATTGCCCAGACGAAAGTTCACTCGACAGGCTAGCGGTGGAGAAAAGGCATGCGAAACCCTCGAATCGGTTCCCTGAGATGTTGTTTGTTCTCTTTCGAAAATGGGAACAGGTCTTTCCCTTTCGCGTGGGCATAATTCGGCCGTTCTCTGTGATGCACCTCGGCCAACGCTCATAAAACGACTAAATCACGAGATGGGTTAAACTATTCCCGAAAGAAGCTTAACTAGCAAAATGTCCAGTCGTTTGGGGAGGAGATAAAAGCGTTTTACATTATTGGCCGTACATCACTGGCTAGCCGTACATCATTCTACTGAAAACTGTTAAGCGCATGCTTTAAAATCGAAAACACACGTCCTAAAATTGAAAATATCCAACTGATGTTGGTATATAATGACGCGAGATATAATTTTCCATGAAAATGCATTCGTGGAGCATTTACTAGAGTTTAAGCATGGCAAAGCATAGCGTATACTAGGAACACAAGTTCGGATGCGCGGCTTTCACTGCACATTTTCTGGTGCTTTATCTGGTGAAAAACAGAGGAAGCAGTAGACTACACTAACATAGTGAAGAAAAGCGTTAGAAGACCTCAGTTTGAAATTTTGCAAGTGAATATAAGGCTCTTAATTTTCTCATTAGGGAATGTTAATTCCGGATTACAGACTATTAATGACGTCAGCGGATTTGGATGAAAGTTCAGCACTTTTTACACTACGATCTACAGCAGAAGTTTCAACGAGGTCGTTTACAGATAACTTGAGGGTCGATGAAATTTTAAACGGGTTTAATGATGATCCACTGGGGCAAACAGCGGAAAATGCACACGAAATTGATCGGCATAATGATGACTTATTTATTTACGTACTTCTGTCGTTAGGCAATACACGGCAAACGCAAAAATGCGCCATTGAGGACTTTTTACGGAAAACTGGCTAGTACGGAGGTCACTCTGAAATTTTTTTAGATAAGAGCAAATGATAAGTGACGAATTTTTAACGTGCTTTTTCACCAATTTGTGAAGGATATAAGGCTAAAAATATCTACAATGCAGATGAAACTGAATTACTTTATCGAATTTTGCCGAATAAAACTCTATGCTTCAAAGAAGAAGAGTGCTCTGGTGGTCAATCACTTAGAAATGAAAAAAGCCAAAATACCAAAATACTTCAAACATATCAATCCAAAATATTTATCGGTCCATTGGCATCACATTAAAAAATCACGGATGACGCAAAGCGCAATGTTAGAACGGTTGATTGCATTTGATAAAACGATGTCCAAAAAAAAAGGGGGGGATTTTCCTATTTCTTGACTATTCGCCAGCCTGCCCACTAAATGTAAAACTGAAATCAGTGAAATTAGTGTTTTTCCCACCTAACGCAACATCAGTATTACAGCCTTTGGATCAAGGTATAATTAGAAGCTTTAAGGTCCATAACAGAAAACTGCTTTTACGGCATGCTCTTTGTCAGGCTGCGGAAACAACGATCAGCTTGCAAAACGAGTCAATGTATTGAATACTATTCAGTGGATAACAAAAGCTGTTAATTCCGTATCACAAAGTTGTGTTCAGCGCTGTTTTAAGATAAGCAGGCTTTGAAATTCCAATTTAGAGTGCCCCAGTGAAAATACTACTGATGAAAATGAATTGTTTGAACTTGTCAAAATCAGTGGCAGTGCTCAAATGCAAGAGTATTTAGAAATCGATGAACACTTATACACTGAAGACACCAAAGACGACATAAAATCTTTTATTTCAACTGAAGATGATAACGTGAGCCTTAATAAAAATACCCTGGAAAGCAATAAGAAAGAGGAAGAAAATCCAGATGAAAAATGTGTCATAAAAAACTATACCGATGCCTTAAAATACACATCTCAATTAAAACAGTTCATGATAACTATTGATGACAGTGAAGGACTTAAGCGTTAGAATTAGTGACGTTAATATCGACATGGCAAAAAAAGTGCCTGCAATTCGCATACTTTCAAACAAACCTGTAAAACGGATCATTTTCAATAATTATTATTGTATATATGTACAAAACTTTATTGCTCATTTCATATATTATTGCAATAATTAAACCTTTTTAATTAAGAAGTTTAATTTTTCATTAATTTCAAAGTCGAATAAATACCTGTGACTATGCTACTTATTTATATATCATTTGTTTAAAGCTTTATACAATTTGAATTTCTAATTAAATTACATATTTTTAGTATGTACTCTCTGAAGAAGAAACAAAACGTCTTATCCGGTGGGAGAACCTTGTTGGTATGTACTACTGTATATATATTATGATAAATATTTTAGGCGGATGGCGGCGCTAGCAGATAGTATTAATTAAAATAGAACTTTTGTGTAGTTAGAATTTGTAATTTTGTTTCTGAAAACTTGTTTACATTTAAATGTAATAATTGTACAAAAATAATAAAACATAAATATAATAACTTATTTTTTCAAAACATTTGCTCATATTCTTAGTATAATGGTTAAATTATTTATGTGCAGTATCCTGATTATATTGTATACTGTATATTACAGGAATCGATGAAGAAAACCATTCTTTTAAAAGGAGTCCATGCAAGAAAAAGGTTGTGAATGCCTAACCTAGAGTCTTCTGATGTTTTTCACGATAGAGGCCTCAGATTTATGGCAGCGGGTTAAATTTCATATAAAATAGAACAAGGCGCAATATATGATAAAATTTGTTTAGTTAAAGAAACTTCGGAATTAAAAGCAAGATTAACGATGCCAAAAATCTCAAAATCAAAATTTTTATTTTACATATCCTCTACAAATTACACATTTATATTTATATATAGGCTACATAACAAAGTACGGCATTATTTCCATAAAAATATAGATGGAGCTGTGCAACTGCACAGTGTATTAGAGCAGCTGTACAGTATATTAGAATACACTGCATTTCGATTGCCAAAGTGAAAATTTTCATATTTGGTCGATTACCTCCAGAAATAATGGAAGGATTTTTAATGACATTTGGTGCGGAATGTGTTCATATAATACAACAAAATATGCCATACAGCAGTCATGGCATACAAGCATGGTCGTGTTCTAAGGCCCATTGGCACAAGAAAGTCTCAAACACAGATTGTAAGATCTAAAAAAAGAAATCGACATACAGTGACGTCACATGCACTCGCGTACTTTCTTCAAAGTCAGAATATGACATTATGTAATAAAAAAAAATCCGAAAGCTTTCAGATTTTACATTACGCCCAAAGGGGTGTTTTTTTAACGTTTTGTGTGTTACCTTTATTTATCAAATACCATGTTTTTCGCACTTAAACCGTAAAATTCAATTCAGCAGCAATATCACAAAGTATTTAAACAAACATATTTTCAGCATTTCCAATAAAAAGTCTCGCGTGCTGGAGATATTTTTTCCCCCTTTACAGTGTTGCCATTGCTCGCTTTGAAATCTCTGAGTTTGTTAATAAAAAATTCTTTAATGTTTGACAAAATATGAAATAGATAATAAAACAAATTCCAAATTTGGGTTTCCAGATACCCTTATTCGAATGGAGGACTACATTATTCAAAATTTGATGTCTCTAGATACCGTTGTTTTTCCACAGTGCGAGAAACATACATACATTAATGAAGGTTCTTCATTATTTAATTTCTTTAAATATAATGCAGGGCTCTTATATTTGGTGGCAACAATTTGAAAAGTGAACCGATATTTATACCGAATCAACGCAAAATGCTCCCCCCCCCCAAAAAAAAACACGCTAAAAATGAGAGGAGGACTTTTTTCTGAGAAAAACTGTGTCTTATTCCTATTACATATATAGATCATAAAAGCCACGAAAACCAAGCACGCAGCCAGGCCGTTCGTCTGGGTTAGAACTTGGGTCGAATTACCAATGTTCAACAATCTTAACGCGGCCCTGCTTCAGCATTAAAATAAAGGCTTTATTTTCAAAAAAATCAAATATCCGAATATATAATTATATACTCCTGCCTAAAAAAATAAGCAACAAAGGCAAAACACGGAATAAAACCAAAACAGTTTAATGGATATAGAGTGAAATAGTCTCCTGTAGCAGTCATATAGCTCTCATAATATGACATCATAAAAATGGAAATAAGATAGTTCATGAATCCCTGTAGCAGTCGGTCTCATTTTTGTTTCATATTCTGAAGGATGTTGGAAGAGCAACAGAAATTGCAGTTGCCTCTCAAAAGCATCTTAAGCATGTTCTATAAAGTTTAGATATGGATATCTAAATAGTCAATCTTCTGATTAATATCCTCGCTTTCCAGTTTCCTGCATCCCTGAAAAGGCGAACATAGGGCTCTAAGATATTCTCCCTGGCAATCACACAGCCTCAGTCAAAGACATGAAGGTCTATGCATCTGTCCAACATGATGCCTAAACAAAGCACTAAAGCTTCTCTGCCATATTGGCGCCTTTCTCGAATATTAGAGGAGCTGTTTGTGTGTGTGTGTGTGTGATTATGGTCTCGAGGGCTATCTGCCTAAGGAGAGGGATGCTTTCGTGGAGGGCTTTCTAAGGAAAACTGGCTCGTATACACGTTACACATGGGGAAAAACCCCCATGCAGCCAGACCGTTCGCGGGATTCGAACCTCGGACCGACTACCAGTGTCCAGCGACGTTACCGCTCGGCCGCTGGTGGGCCGAATATTAGAGGAAAGATAGCGGTTGTTTGGTTCTCTGCGAATGAAGGTATACCGAGAATAAATTGTTTAGCTGAATCGGAGTATATCCAAAAAGGGAATGGTCCTCTACTGATGCTTGGTTTCAAGTCGATATTTCCCGCACCATGCTAAATGGGCAGAAGTTAGTGGGACGTAAAACAGCATGCCTTTCTGAAAACAGACGCGATCCTAGTGCCTTATGTTCACCTCAACGTTTTCAAAATGGATTTAGGTTTCTAAATTACATAACGATGATTCCGTGAAACTTGCTTTTAGGGAGATAACTTTCTTGACTTTTAATTGTACGTAAGCAGCATGAACGCCGAGCCAAATAAAAGCGAAGTACAGTCCTATATTTTTCATTCTACTCCACCAATTGCTGAATTGCTGAAAGTCATCTTCAAAATGCGAACATGGCGATTTTTTTTTTTTTTTTTTTTTTTTTTTTTCCCCATATTTCGAATCTATGCCTCGTACACCTAAACATTAACTTTAGTAACATTTGGTGAGAAACATATGCAGTAATTCAAAAAACCAGTTTGGCGCATGTTTTTAATTTGAATAATTCTCTTGGAGAACTTCTGAGCTTGTGTTAAGCAGTTCAATTTCCCCTTTATTCCGTTATGCATTGTTTCTTTTTTCTTGCAAATACTTTCGCTTAACATTTTTAATCACAGTTATTTTTAGACCTCTTTATTTATTTATTTATTTATTTATTTTTTTTTTTACTTTAGTTATTTGAGCTACGTATTTCAAATATATTTCTTCAAATAGATATTTTTAAATTTCTATTTTTCATTCAGAAGGACTTTAAGCATATTTATTCATGTAAATGTAGTTTTAATTTGATTTTATTTATTTTAAGATAATTTTTCTCTTTCCTTTTTAGCCCAAAAGGCATTAGCCAGAGGGGCTTTTATTTTGTTTTGGCTCTTTGTGGGATTTCACTTTTCAAATTGTTGCCACAAAATATTAGAGCCCTGCATTATATTTAAAGAATGAAGAATCTGCATGAACGTATCTATGTTTCTCGCACTGTGAAAAAACAATGGTATCTTAAGACATAAAATTTTGAATAACTTAGTCCTCCATACGAATATGAGCATCTGGAAGCCCAAATTCGGAATCTGGGATTTGTCTTATTATCTACTTCATCACAAGAATTTGGAATAATCGCAAGGAAACAAATCTGGAGAACACGCTGCAAGACTGAGCACATGGACTTATTTTTTGGATTCACCAGTTCTGAGAACTGGTTATTGACCAATAGAAATGTATATTATCATGCAGTACAAATCATTGGGAATAACAGTTTCCAACTAAATGAAGTAAGATTAAAAATCTTTTGCTCAATTCTCAACCACTTAAAAATTAACGACTCATCAAACATTTGAAATTGCGCAAATATTTTGATACATCAGCTTGTAAGGTACGTCTAATGTCACTTAATCTAAACACCTGTTTAATCTTCCGAGAGGAAATAAAAAAGGGAAATAATCGTCTTGTCTTACATTCCAACAACACTAAGTAAATACAATAACTGCAAATGTAACTAAACGTTCATTTGCACTACTGCTTGGAAGTTTACAAACACGTTATCAAAACTTAACTCTGATTACTGTGTAGTCCAATCCAGGCGAATGGGGCTAGCTGCATGTTGGTTTTCCTAATTTTCCTATGTGCAATGTGAATACGAGCCATTTTGCCTTAGAAAGGTCCTCCATGAATACATGCCTTCCCTTAAACAGATAGTTCCAATCTGCTTTGTAATATTTAAGTAATCAAGCAATTCGATTTAAACGTGATTTCTAAACTGGCAAAAGCCAAAAAGTCACTGAGAACCAGTTCGAGAATATGAAAGATGCAAAGTAAAAGGTTGAATTGCAAATACATTCTTTTTTAAACTTAGATTGTCATTTGTTAGCCTAAATTACATAATTTATACTTTTCAGAGGAGTTGACAGAAAAGAGAAAAAATGGAGGTGAACAGGAAGAAGTGAATAAAAAAGATACAACTTAACTTAAGACTTTTATTTACAATCACTTTCAGTTACACTGAAACTGTTAGCAATAAAGTACACTCAATAATATAGTTAAAGAGGCATTTCTTCATGAAATAAAAATAGCAAATTTGATGATTTTATACTTTATTTTTTCGGTACAACACATTACAGGTAATCGGCATACAGTACTTTATTCTTACAATTTTATTTGACTCTTAAAGCTAATATTACACGCCAAAAATATTTGTGACAACCAATACCTTCATATAATTTTTTCTTAGCTGCTGACATATACTGAAAAATTGCTTTAACTTGTTTTATGACAATGACAAAAGTCTGGATACTAATAGCTGGTAGAGAAAAAAAATGCAATCTGCAGCTTCTAGCACATATGAGAAAAACATCTCTCTTTAAAGTGTAAAACAGATAAAAAATGTTAGATAAATATTTAAAAGCTGCCCCAAATAGCTTACGTATGCTAACAATTTATTGTGGCTAGGAAACTGGAGGTACATCAAGTAACACAGCATTCCTACCGATTTGGTTAAAACCATAATGACTAGTTTTAAATTTTAATACAAACTCTTTTAGCACTACTAAAATTGCAGGGAAAAGCGAAATAAATTAAAATATATTCAAATAAAATACATTGACAGCAAAATAAAAGAAAACAAAATGTTTCGATGTCTACTGAATATAAACAATGGAATAAAGAAAATTTTTGAGGGCAAAATTATTTTTTAAAAAAATGCATGGAAGTATCATCGTGTACTATTAAATAATCTTTGTAAAAATGCTAAACTAATTCTTTCACGGCAGTCAAATGCAAAATGAATCCGAAAAGGCACTCAGGAAAGCATAAACTTATGCAAACTAACAAAAATCTTACTTTTAAACAAGAAAAAAGAGCAGACTCCAATAGAAAACTTCACTCCATTTACTATGAAATTTAGACAGATCTGTCAAGGGAACAAATAAAATTCGAAATGATATTTAACAATCTGATATTTTTGCTTTGATAAAAGAGAAACAGTTTAATTTCTACATGTTAATGGCAACTAGTTTTTAAAACCTAACATATTTGTCCCTTTTTTTATTTAACTGACACAAATATGCATTATGCAGAAATTTTAGGAACCTGATTACCTGCCAATACGGAGATTAAATACACTTTTATTGGAAAGTAGTAAAACATAAAAGCTAAATAACCTAATTAGAAAAAAAATGAAAACTATATACAAAAAGCTTTAAAAACAATTTAAATATGAATATAAGCAAAAAAAATATAAACTGTTGAAATATATTTTCACTTTAAACTTCATCATCATCATAATAATAATAAAATTCTTATCTTTACATAAGTACATTCTGATCTTTACATAAAAACTAAATTCATTGGGGCAACTGCCTTCAGTGAGCCATGGTCTGCAGTGTCCTTATATCTGCTTTCTTTACATAAAAAGCTGTGCATATTCAACATAACATTTGCAACCATACCACTGATGGCATAAAACGCATGAAATTTCTTAATTATCATTTGTAGCATTACTTTACTAGCATGAAATATACCATCAACAAAAACTTCTGTTGGGTTTATAAATTTAAAATTAAATAAAATATGAAGAATAATTTGATAAATGATCAATTCCAGTTTTCTTTTCAAGACTAGTCCACTTCTAAAATAGTATACACTGTACGACTGATTATATATATTTAATCAATAAAAATACAGGAAATTAGAATTTATGGTTTATTTAATACATGAATAACTCTAAAAAACAGGGAAAAAATTCAAGATGACTAATTTATACAAAATATAAAACAATCAGAATTTCTTTTAATAATTATTTTAATTATTTTTATGCCCTTAAAACAATCTTTCTTATATATAAAAAAGAATTATTAACCTTTTTAAATCCATATCTTACTACTAGAAATCATAATTCAAAACACCTAACACACAAAATGATTTTTAATGCATGGCAACAGCACAGACCTTAAAAAAAATTGCTGGAAAAAATAATGGTATGTTCTCCCTTTTTTTAACCATAGAACATGGTTCAAAAAATGCACAACATGCATAATTAAGCAGCATGATTTTTTATATTAAACAATTATTTAAAAATATTTTATTTATTCATAACAGCAAACTAAAAGTACTTTTAATAGTAGTTTCTCGTATAACATAACTGAAATTTGAAGAAAGTTTAAAAATATGCCTATTTTCTGCTTAGCATGTCTTTAATTTTAATATTTAATATTTCAAATACTAAAATGTTAACACATTCCTTTAATAATTATTCACTGCACAATTTTTAGCATAAATAATTCATCATGAAGGATTTAAAAAAGTAAAAAACAAATAAAAAATCTTAATATAAATTCTATATTTATGAAAAATGTACCCTAATACCCTAATATATTAAACCAAAATCGTCTAAAAGGACTTTAACATTAAATAAATAAATATATATATATATATATATATGCAATAAATTTTATTCAAATTTACCTCTTTGAAAAAATAGCACATAAAAATATTTCTCCAGCAAATATTCTCATGCACTTTTATAACAGTTTAACACTCATATTGCTAAATAAATATTTTCAACTAAGCCAAACTATTACAAGAAAATATTTCTAATATAATTCAAACCAACCATTTTAAAGGTTCACAACTAAAACAATGACATTCACAACTAAGATAATAATGCTTTGCTGACATAATTTAAAAAGACTATAGAGAAGAAGAGAAGGGAAGAGAATCTGCTGTGTTGGAAAGTCTACTCTCTGTATTTAGAGATTTGCATTTTACTAAGATCATTTAGACGTTTCAAAATTAGCATAATTTTTTGCTTAATTATGAAAAATATTAATTTAAAATCTATTGCCAATAGTTTGGATTTAAATTCAGTATTATGCACAATTTTTATTTGAATATTTGGTAACATACACATATGATATAATGAAGTCTGCTACCATATAACAAAAAAAGTTTTTCTTCATATAACAAAAAAAGTGAAAAAACATTTTCAGAATTTTCCCTACATAAATATCTAAGCATTTTGGAATGTATTATCTGAAAAATACATAAGGTCTTTGATAACAATAAGTAACAGAAAATAAGTAATCTGAGTAAAAATGTTAAGAAACACATGAAAATTTACATGTTGGCTCTAAATAGCTGGTAATCAAAAATCTTCCTAGCTCTATGGACAGTAAAAATGTACTTGGTGCAGAATTATCTATACTCAAACTGCTATCATTCTCAACAAATGAGTATCAAGTAATGTGTTCAGAATTTGGAAAATATACTTACTTCAACAAATCTTGATATTGCAAAATAATAACCCGAGTAATTAAAATCTATTGAAAACAAATTCTAATTGACAAATAAATGGATTTTATAGTGACACAACAAATAACTTATAAAGTTCTAATGTAATCACATCATTCAGCTCATGAAAATGGATTCATAAAAGTTATTGTATTTAATAAAGCAATAGACACATTTGGAATTAGCAAAAAAATGTGGAATGAATTTACTGTTCATAAGTTCAAATTTAAAAAAAAAAAAAAAAATAGATGTCATTATGCTTTATATATGTGAAAGGAAATTCAAGCATACAAAATTAATAAATTTTATTCTGGATCAAACTGCTCCATACAGAAACGACGAGAAATATGCAAATTTAAAAATTTTTCAAATAAGAAATAGCTGTTGTTATGTTTTATAGATGTGAAAGAAAAGTCAAGCATACAAAAATTTAGTTAATAAATTTATTCTGGATCAAAACTGCATCATACAGAAAGGATTGAAAAGTAGAAAAGGTCTTTTGTGCAAAAATTCAAGATTAATATCCACATATTTGATATGACAATTTAAATGAGTACAGTAATAAAAACCCAGTTAAAAAAAATGTTGGTAATACTAGTAACATATCAGAAATAAATCTCATTATTAAGATCTAGAAGCATATTTGATTAGTTTCAGTTAGGCATATCATTTTTATTAACCTCACATTTTTCTATTTATTGTATTTCAAATAATTCAAAATCTATATATAAAATACGTCTTAAATTGTGTTTTGGTAACTTTTGTCTAAAATTTCTATTATTATATATATATTTTAATAAAACATAACTTTTTTTAATAAAACTTAATTTTGCTAATTTCATCTAAAATTTAAAAGCATCAAAATTTAATCAATTTATTAATATCTCAGAAATGTTATTATAAATTGTGAATTACCTTTTAGTAAAGATTGCTAAACTCAATGCATGACAATTATTTATTTTTTTTCCACTGTTACAAAAACAAAGATAAATGATTTTCTGATTAGTTTTATAAATTAAATATTTGACAAATAGAAAAGCAAAATATAATTGCCTTTTATATATTTAAAAACTGCATGATGTAACACCTGGTGGGTTATGTTTTATTAAAAAATATATATATAACAGAAATTTTAGACAAAAGTTACCAAAACCCAATTTAAGACGTATTTTATATATATTATATAGGAGATTTCGAATTATTTTAAATACAATAAATAGAAAATAAATGCTGCAGATCAGTAAGGCACTAAGGAGTCTCACATTTTTTGTAGAAAACTTATAAATCAATTACAAAATAAAGAGCTTGTAATTTCTACAAGCTGCTTGTTTTAAGTTAGTTACCTTGATTTCGCCTATTATATTTGATATATAATTTTTTTGCTATTTTTAAAAGCAAAACCATGTTAAAGATTAATAAAATTAACCAAAATTCATAGGCAATTGGAGACAATTTTACAAAGCAAAAGATCCACTCTATCTGTTGCCATATTGGCCAGGTTTTACAATTTTTGTCATCCCCTTAACCAAAATTCATAGGCTCTTAATGTTAAAACAATTAGAGACAATTTTATAAAGAGACCTACTCTGCCTGTTGCCACATTACCCAAGTTTTACAAATTTGCCATCCCTTAGAAGAGACCTTACTTCATTAAAAAACTAATTAACTATGTTATCCCATGTCTAAATATTTTCTATTAATTTGGTGTATATTTTGCTCTTCATTAAAATCAACAAATATTTTAAGCAACAAAAATTTAAAAACTACTAAATTAAAATAAATACATAAATAAATAAAAATAATTGTTAGAAAATGAAGCATTATAAGGATTTCATGAAAGAAACAATGAAAATATAACATACCTTCGATTTGTCCAGACATCTTAGATTATCATCTTTAACCATTTTTTCATATAATGTTCTGGCTAGAGAACTTCGTAAATATGGTCTAACAGCCATCTCAAATAAATACCACTGAATAAAAAATGCAAAAATAATTATATTTTACCACAAATTTTAAAAAATGAATTCATAGATTGCAAATTAAGTAAGAAGTAATAGCAACTTAGAAATAATATCAGGACCACAAAAATAATAATAGTATGAAAATAATAATGTATGAAACAATTCTTGTAGGAGTAATAAATAGAATAATAAATATAATATTTAGAATTCAAGGTTTAAAATTATGCAATAAATTTCCTTTCCAAAAATTTTTCATATCTTAAATTTCATAAAAATTACATGAATTTTGGAAAAATTGTTAACATGTTAACATCATACACATTACATAACTGATTTAAAAAGTGTTCATTTTATAACTAATTTTGATCATAAATTTCCAATTTTTTAATTAATAAAGGGATTAAAAAGCACACATCCCCAGCTAAGAAATAATCCTTTATAAATTAAAAATCTTGTTTGAGAAAATCAGAATTCTAAAACTGTAGTGTTAAACCATTTACCTTGAAAAACAGAAAACACGTGAAAAAATTAGATAAATTCAAAAATCTAATATGTTTGGCTGTTTAATCAATTACAGCAAAGCTAGTTCCATCTGTCAGATATTAACACTTTCTTTGCAGAAAATTTTTCAGGAAAACTGAGTCATACTCATGTTTCACAAAGGGAAAACTGTGAAATACCAATTCGCAAAACTTTGAATCTAGGTTGAACTACCAGTGTTCAGGAGCCTCATCAATTCAGTCATTGATGATTCTAAGAATATGGTTTTAGTTTATTAAAACTAATTGCTGTAAGTGAACATCAACAAAATTTTACATTACTAAAAATCTATTAATATGTATACAATGTTACATACATCTCATAATTTTTTCAACACATTTCAGCCACAGTCTTATATTAAAGAGCAGGTTATATGACTTTACCCACACAGCTATGACCAAAAAAAGTTTAGAAATTTTTTCGAAAATTTTATTCAGCTATTTTATTTATAAATTCCCTACTAAATTCAAGCCAAAATGGTACTCTTCTGTTATCAAGACCAGATTGAGAAATGTATGAATGTATGCTTGTGTATATGGATGTATGTGTTCATGTATATATGTATGTGTTCATGTATATATGTATGTACAAATGTCTGTGTTTGTATACACATATATGTACGTTAGTATGCACATGCTTACATATGGTCTCAATAACAGAACAGTACTGCCAAAATTATAAAATATGAATATAGGCATAATTTATCATCATACAAAGAAGTATGTTTTAAAAGTATATGCATGATTTGTCAACTTTCTACTAAAAATTAACTTATACTACATCAGGGAAATGCAACCAGCCAACTAAACCACCATGATATGAACTTGTAGTAAATTTTAAAAGTCATATAAAATCAGCTACACCAACACAACCCATACAAATATATACAGGGTGACCTGTAAACAATGTTATATCAGAGGGTTGATACCACAACATGAAATTCATTAATTCATTTTGACCTATAATTAGTCTTTTGCAGCAATTAATCTTAAAATATGTAACTCCTGAAAATACTTTTGTTTATGATCTATTTGAAAGAAATCCATCTCAAGAAGTAACCCACTCAAAAATTAAAAACTGTTTACTTAAATGAATGGTTATTTTTCCATTAGGTTCTTTGTTATGTATTACCACTTGCCAGTTTGTTGAACAGCACCCAAGCAATAAAACTGCTGAAGTAGTAGCCATCTTAACACAACGGCCCACTGGGCACTCGCCCATAAGCCTCATGAGCTTACATTTAATTCCTGTTAGTAACTGTTGTAGGAGCCCCAACACACTGTTTCGCCCAGGAGCCCATAATGCTGTAAAGATAAAATAGAGTAGTAGTTTGATTCGGATTCTAATTCTGGCTCACTGCATGGGAGTTTTAATGATTTTCTCTATGCGTAATGTGAATACGAGCTAGTTTACCTTAATATGTCCTTCATGAAGGCATCCTTCCCTTTATGTAGATACCTCTCAAGTGATTTCCTATAATACTGAAACCGCTTTTCGGTTTATTGCAAAATTTCATGTCAGCAGCAGTAAAAAGCAAGATGCAGAAAAGAATAAGAAGAGAAGCTCTGCTAAATAAAAGAGAGAAAGAAAGAAGTCCATTAAAGTAAGATGGAAACTCAGACTAGGAAAAAAAGAATAACTGACAACTCATTCAACCAACCCAGAAAAACATTAAGCCATCATTAAGACTAGGCAGTTAACAATTACATAATATTCAGATGTACAGGCACCCTGGACATTTCCAAAAAACAACAAAATTGGACAGAGATACTAAAATGGAAAATGTTCCAATATTAATTCTAATTTTTCCTTTTTGATTGAAAAATGTGAAGAAACAACATCAGTGATGCATATTAATTACTGAATGCTGTCCATTTACATTTGCATCACATTCAGGCATGTTTGAAAAAAAAACATTAATGAAGACTACTTTTAATTTACAGGGACACTAGGCAGATTCTTCACGTATGCCTCTACATGAAGAAATGCAAATTAGATATGATTTTATTTTTTCTCATACAGCTGATACAATGTTCATTTTAAATTATTTTTGCATAAAAATATGTCTATAGAACCTTTAAAATAATCCTCAATGGCAGATACAGTCAAAAGTCTCTAATCCGGACATCCATAATCCGAAATGATCTATAATACGGACCTCAAAGCTACAAACTTTCTGTGCATATGCATTTATGCATGCGCATTTAATGCATAACGGACGGTATAAGCTAAGCTAAAATTATCTAATTCAGTTAATGTTGCAGATTGCATTGTTCCTTAATCTTCTCATTGGATGCGGCTTATTATTTTTTGCAGACTGTTAGAGCAATTTTATAAAAGTAAGCTTGAACTTTCGATTATGTCAAAAAGAATTTCCCATTCTGGAGCTGCCAAAGGATCTACAAAAGGAAAGCATGTTTCGATGTCCATCAAACAAAAAGTGGAATTGCAAAAAAAAAAATGGATAAAGACATATTCTTTGTTTCTCTAACCATTCCAAAATCTGTTTATCAATTTCACGCAGCTCTGCAGGGGGGGGAGGGCATCGCAGCACGCACTGAACTGGAAGTTGATCTGTCAGCACTATCTTTATCTTCAAGGCAGATGTTTTTATTTTATTCGGCTTAAAATTCCTTACTAAATGTAGTATTTCATCTGGATACATCAATATGATTTAATCAATTTCCTTTGATACAATTTAAATCAAATTCCTCGTCATTATAAATATCACGAATTCACATCAAATAGTTTTCCAGTTGCAATTTTCTAATTTCGACTATGGATTACGCATGCGCGCGTTGAAAGAAATGTTTAATAAAGTAAACAAATAAATATTAAGTTTTTTTTGGTAAAATTTGATACCCTTTAGATCATAATATTTCATAAATTATGGTTTCATATTTTTAATTTTATAATTTCTGCATGCCATCTCACCAGATTTAACTTGATGATCTATAATCCGGAATTGCTGAAGTCCCGACGAGTCCAGATTAAAGACTTTTGACTGTATTATGTAATTGGAGCTAAAGCTGAGCTTTTTTCATCTGAAGACATAGGTTATGTTCATTTTTAGAAATAAATTTATGATATGAAAGCCCCTTAAAAAATGGGGTCCACTCCTACTGCAACTTGAAAAATGTTATAAATATATCTCTAAATATTTAAGCTTCAAAAGATGAGCCAAATATTGTGTTAAACAGAAATAATTCCATAGAAATCTGGCTTTAATAACTTTATAATAAAGATAAAAAATTCCTAAACATATATTCCCCAAACATTTCATATATTAGTGGCTTCTCTTTTTACTCCTTAGATGTTGTGAACCCACCAGTAGCCGAGCATTAAAGTTGCTAACACTGCTAGTTCAGCTTGGGTTGTGATTACTAGAGAGCGAGCTAGCTGCATTGGCATTTTTCTTGTCTTCCCCAAGTGTAACATGGATGCGAGCTAGCTTTCCTTAGAAATTCCTCCACGAAGGCATCCTTCCTTCTCGCATGCTTTGCCATAATCAAATATACCAAACCTCAAATGCTGCAATACTAATTCTATGGACGCATGTATGTATATTTACAGTTCTTTAGTAAATATACATTCATGCATCCATAGAATTAGTATTGCATAGAATTAGTATTTCTATTTACGCATGTATGTATATTTACAGTTCTGAAGTGCATATTAAATGCAACTGATTATCATTGTGTATCACAGAAATATTATTAGTTTTTCATACACTTATACACCCAAGCTCATTTAAACCCTCTGGGCAGCCAGGGTTTTCACTAAAAAAGCACAAATTTCCAAAAACTACTACGAGAACAAATTATTTTTTTGATTCTAATGCAAAAACTCTCCTTGTATTTCATACCTGGATTTTTCTTTTGATATATTGCCTTAATTATGTTGGCATCTTTTAATATGCATGTATATACACGTTCCTACAGATATCAAAATAAATATTCTAGACTATATATATATATACAGCTTTGCCGCTTAGAGGGTTAATATGTTTTCAAGCTTTTGTATATGTAATAGTGATTACATAATAAAGATTTAAGCAAGAAATTTAGAGACTCATTTGATAAACTTCAGACATTTTTTGCAATAATATTTGTGTTATAGTAGAGTTAAATCAAGAAGATACTAGTTCATCCTATAAATAAAGTGGTTTTTCTACTGCATAAAAATCTGATGAGAACAGAATAAATTACCTGCATTAAAATGCTAAAAAATAAGTATTAAGTTTACTTGTTCTTATGTTTGCAAGTTTTGAAGAATGCAGTTCAATTTTAATATTTGTTTGTCAAAACAATAATGGACAAAAGAGCACATTCAGCTTTATCATTCATTAGAAACAAGTGCAAGAAATATTAATGTAGTATATGGAGATCGGGCAATAAGCAGAAGCCAGTGTCAATGGTGGCCCAGGGCCGTTCCTAGCAGGGGTGCATCGTGTAAAAGTACGCGGGCGGCCAGACTCTCACGATATCCTGCCTAAATATTTTAAACTCATTATAAGTTCTTGTCATATTAAGTGCGTTTTATAGTTTGTCATACGTAAGTACTTAGTGAGTATGAAATAAAAATGTTATTAATCACTAAGCATTTTCTTTTTAATTTGGAGAGCAATCTCAGGAAAGTATGTAGTTTGCCGATGGCCAAGGAACAGCTCTGTGACGGCCTCAGGAATTCCGAGACCAAAACAGCGGCCTAGAAAATAAGTTCAACCTAGATCCGTAGAGCTAAATGACCATGTTTCGTAAAACCTGGCAGAACAAAGTCCTATTGGAATATTGAGTAGCTAGCAAAGGATGTAGAAATGCATATTTTAGATTTAAAAAAAAAACTTTATACTAATTTTGAAAAACAAAAGAAGTAAAATTAAAATTATATACAGGATGATCCTATAGTTATAGATTAAGTCAAATGACACAAAAGGTTTTGTCCTAATTCAGAACAAAACTACCACTCTCAAACAGCTTTATATGGTTATTTTCATAATGGTGGTTTGTCTCTGCGCAGGACCTCGATGCAAGCTGGCCACTGCTCGAAGAGACAGAATAAGAGTGTCCCAGCATAAAAATGTCTGTATCTTTATGCAGATTAAATCTGAACTTGTAAAAGACTTTCATAAAGGTACAAATGATTTTAATCCAAATTACTGTTTTGCAAGTAGAACTTTATACTTAGTTAATCTGAATAGCAATTTAAAACCTTACTTGCACAGGTGCATATATACCTTTACGAATGCTGCTTTATACAAGTAAGTGGTGTGTATTTAATTATGGCAAAGCACACTAGGGCTATCTGCCTAAGTGGAGGGATGCCTTCATGGAGGATTTATACAAGTAAGAAATAGATTTTCATAAGGTGAATGCACCTTTATGATGACATCCTTGTGAAGGTTTCTGGTGTTTAAGATTGTGGCCATCTTGGGCGAAAGTATAAGTACCTTTATGACTGAGAACCATTATCATATGGACCCATCTAACATAATGAAGTATTAGTGCTCGTCCAAAAAGAAAAAAAAATTGCTTTTTATTGTTTTAATGCCCATCAGTGCTTTACAGTATTTACATGTCAGACCGCCGCCCAACCAGGATAGTGGTTAACAACGCTGACTGCTGTACCATAAAGCCTGGGTCCAAATCCCTCAGAAGGCATGGATGCTTGCTTGCAAATGCATAGCATTTGTGGTGCATGGGGGCACTCTAAATATGTGTCAAGCCAAAAGTCCTCTTGAGAGGTTAGTGGTAGGGGAAGAGGGGTGGGAAACATTCCGACCCATTCCCCCCAGGCTGCTCTCTATTTAAATTGGGAGGGGGCAAAACTAAGCAAAGTCATACTATCACCTGTATGGTGCTCAGGAATCTTATCAACAACAGGTGCAATTTTGCACTCCTTGCCATAATGAATTTTGTGAGTTTGTGCTAATGTTACTGTCAGACAAGTGAGATAAGTTACAACAACATGTCAGAACAGAATGATTCTTAATAAAAAAATGATTTGACTAAAGGATGAAATTTAATTTTAAGTGTAAAATTGTACTTCTTAAAGAATGTATTTTACATACTTTCCATTGCTTTAAAAAAACCTGTTCTAATATTAACACCCAGTTTACAATACAATTAAGGCACTTAGCATGGTACCATCACTTTACCTTATCTCTGAAGAGTGCAGAATTATTGTTGTGCAATATGTATAATCAGCTGAAAATTTTAAATATTGGCTTTCATATATAAAAAAATAACTTAATCTTTTTATTTCATTTTCAAATATAAAAGCTTTATGTAATTTGAAAAATATATGAAGTTTAGAAGGCAACACAATCAGTCTTTTCCAGAAGCAGGATAAACGTGATGCTCACAAAATATTTTTTATAAAGACCTTCTCACGTCTTTTGAAATACAAAGATTTTTTTTTTTTTTTGTTTTTTTTTTGTTTGTGTGTGTAATCATTCACAAACAATGGTTGTAAATTTAACATTTCTTGAAGTTCTGAGCCTCATATTGATTTCTTCTTTCCTTCCTAAGCTGAAATGTAAAATTTATGGAACAAGTTTACATTCTGAGCTTTGAAGAATGAATTCCATACTTAGTGTTTATATAAAGCTCCAGATATATAAATGCTTCAAAATGCTATATAAGTAATTATATAATTTTGCAATTCCTTAGATGTAAAAAAAGTTCTCCCCGACATCACAATCCTGATAGTGTAATGAAATGTTTTACATTTTCCTGATCATAGATTTTCTTTTCACGAGGTAACAAATTAATGCAAAAATCCATCATTAGGGTAATTAAACTGAAAAGGCCAACTGAATTTCTCTGCCGGGTAGTTTATTTCATTAATGCATATAAATTTTGAAGTTCTTTTTAAAAATAAGGATGTATTAATAACAGTTAAATGGTATTCAGACTTATCCAACAAGAGTTAAAATAAGAGGATTTTTCTATGATATAAAACTATACTACAAGCTCAATATACTAATTATGATAAAATAATGTAAATTTGTTCGAATTTTTATACGGATTCACCTCCACAATTCCGGAAAATATCGTCGCGATCGAAAATACCTCCAGCAATATTCCATAACATAAATGCAAAATTTTTAAAATACATGTATCTATAACTTGACACAAAAAAATTAAAAACATAATGATTGGTTAAAAAAAAAAAAAAAAAGAGTACATTCGAAAGAAAAACATAAATCTATTGCAGTAACAAAGTTGAGAAAATGTAAACAAGCCCATGCGTTTTGTTAAGCCTAACTAGACGACGCTGTTCAGGAAAGATTGAGCAGCTAAAACGCCATGAAAAGCTACAAAACAATAAAATTTGATAGTAAAAGAAACTCATTAATTTGTGTATTCACGTCAGAGAATGTAACAACATGATTTTGCTATCATAAATCTAATAACGAATCCTGCATGTACACTGATCACGAAAACAATCTTAAGCTTACCCACACTATCGTATCTGAAGCCGATGGGTTACTGGGAAATCTGGCGGTATTGGCGGAATAAATTTTCAGCCAAAATCGCCAAAGAGGTTCAATGACGTTGTATACCGCTATCTGGGTTACAGACTTCGTTTTTTCATCTATTAGCTCCAGATGTTACACATATGGGAACAGTATGGTAATGACTTTAGTGAAAGTGAAAAGAACATTAAACCATATGTAACTTAAAAGCAAAAAAATGCTTTCTATCAGAAATAATTGCTTTTTTTACAGATTGCTCACAAAGTCTCAATGTAATTTTAATCTAAAAATCGAATAAAAAGTAATTTGTTTTCATTTTTATTTTAGATTTTACAGTAAATTACGGAATTCAAGAATGTGGAATTGCATTATATTCTATTTCATTTGTAGAATGAAAAGCTAATATTATAAGTTTTATAATAAAAATAAATAAATAAAATACCTTTATTTTTATTATTACCGATACTAAGGAATTAAAACTACAACTACAAGGAATTCTTAATAGTAAATAAACTAATAAGAAAGAGGAAGTATTTTTAAACATTGGAGATGAAAGGAAATCTCGCAAAATTTTTCATTCAATTTGAATTTATGTGCAAAAAGTAAAATATATGCAGAGGTAAGAACTAATAATTTTGTTCTGTGTCGATCCTACGTTAACATTATTTGTGAAGTAAGGATTAATCATAAAAATTCAACAATAATCTTGCTTGTTCGATCATAAAAATTCGTTCCAGAAAAAGCCTAATAAATTGCAGTTTATAAATAAAAAAAATAATAAGGTTTACAATAACGCTACAACTTGCGCTACCCCAACTTACGCGAACTTGAATTTATGTTGTGATTTATTTTTCTTATTTTGTTATGCTTCTAATTAGCTTGAATTTAGAATTGTCATAAATTTAGAAAATGCGTATAAACAGAGCATTACTTTTCCTACATATTAGAACTAACTTTAAAGAAATAATATGCATCAAAGCAGAGCTTAAATTGCGCGGGAGCCCTGCTCCGGTACTTCTCAGTTTCTGAAGTAAATCGTGATTCTAGCCGAAGCGCACCGGAACCTTTAATTAAAAGGTTCCGGCACTTCTTTTATGTTGACACACAGTTTCAGCGAACAAATTTTATTTTAAAAATAAATACGCCTTAAAAATTTATTATAATTTCCGAATGCATGCCTTTCTTTCTCTAGGAAACAAACACTTTGATGGAAGTTAAGATTTTTAAGTCTTTCCTTAAAAATCCCACGTCCGCCCACGTGTCCAAGGCCTATTCTCCAGGTAGTGCAATGAATTTATGAAAGTGGGTAAAATGTTTTGATTGCGAAAGTGTTAAAAGTGATTATCTTAGTTGTGCACGTTCAGTGCTAGTGATTTCTCACTGCAGAGCTCCCGCAGACTTAAACTATGTAACCGAATACGATGACAAATTATGACTTGTGCAAACCTTACTTTTATTCTCATGTTGTTATCGGATCGGATTCGGGGGAAATTTCTTAGCCCAGTTGCATGTTGTTTAACAGCTAGAATGATATTGGCAGGGCTTCGCGGTCAGAAAACCTTGGACTCTTCTCTCTTTGTTTTCGAAGGTTCACTTTCCCATTAAAATTTCGGCTCTAGTGTAGAATTGGATGCCCCTTCGATTAGCGATAATTTTTTTTTATTTTATTTTATTTTTTTAATTTTTTTTTATTTATTTATTTATTTATTTTTTTTTTATTTTTATTTTATTTTTTTTTTTTTTTTTTTTTTTTTTTTGTGTTGTGTGTGTGTGTGTGTGTGTGTGTGATGAAACCTCACTTGTGGTTACCATGATAGTTTTAACTTGGTTTTAGCTTTCTGATTTTTTTTTAATGAAAATTGATTGATGTGTGCATGGACAAATTTATGGTAATGCTCAATGCCTAGTTTGTGCAATGCTGGGATGTTTTTTTTTAAGTGAAAACAGATCGATGTGTACATGGACACAATTCTTTGACTTCTTATTTTGTTTTTGTGTAGCGGCCATCTTGAAATTGTGCCTTCTTGGTGCCGATGTTGGCGTCAAAAAAGATTCGCCAAAAAACAAGGGGCACCCAATTGTAAATTTTTACCAAAATTTCTTTCCATATTTTCATATTGTTTCTAGCATCTTCTTTATTCTCATTAGTGACACTTTAATCGCTTTACTTTTTTCCGTTGATGTGCTGGAAAAAAAGGAATGGTTTCTGTTTCTCTCACGTCTTGAAAGTACGTTATACCGTATATTCAGGAACTTAAATTCTGCCAGAAACCGGCTCTTTGTTCTTGGAATGAAATTTTAAGTCCAGCCGGAATCCCAAATAAGACGAGGCTCGGTATTTTATTTCTTTTATTTAACTATTTATCATGGGAAAATAATTTATTAATTTTTTATTTTTATTTTTATATTTTATTGCATTTATCATTATGCATTTTATGATTTTATCAGTTACTTTACTTATTTATTTTTTCTCTTCTTCCTGACGGTTTTCTGATTCTTCCGGCACTTCTGAGCTTAGAAATTAAGCCCTGCTTCAAAGCATGGCACTCTATGTTTAATATTCTAGAACTCCGCACTATTTTTAAAAATTTCATTAAATTATATTTGTGTTGAAAGAAATCAATTGTTCTGCGTTTTATGCTAAAAGTCGTCATATCAAACTTTCTAAAAATGTGGATATTTTATAATACTTATTAACGGCAAATTATTTCAATAAAAGACACCTCTATAGTCTTACAAATTATGTATGACTTGAATTTCATTTTGTATTTTATGCTGTTAGCTTTAAAAAAGCGTGTATTTAGTGAAAAAGGGAGATCAGCAGAACTTCAACGACCAAGCAACGAATTTTAAGATTTTTTTCCCAAGCAGCACGAATTTTTACAATTGAGTATTACTTCCCAACGCATAAATTTGATTATGAATGCCATTTTCCTCCCACTCTCTATTGGCGATTGCAACAATTTGTTCCTGACATCGTCCATTTTGAGGAAACTCAAAAGAGACAGGCGACCACTTCGTTTGTTATAGTAAATGCTTATAATTTCTCGAAATCAGTATATAAAGCAGAAAATTATTGTAATTATTGTCTAGTTAGGTTCATGAACATTTTGAAAGGACTTTTTGATCCTTTGAAATTGATCCATTGACGTTTTAATCCGTTGAAATAATTTGCCATTAAAATCTCCTGTGGAATTTTCACAGTTTTTTAAAGTATGCGACTTTTGGATCACCAATTTATACAATGCACTGTTTTATTCTTTAGTACAGAAAAGCAAGAACGGATTTTTATATTCCTTATATCTTCTTTTTTCTTTGGAACTGGGAATCAGATCAGTTTGTTAAAATTTTATGAAGCTCAACTTCAGGGAATTACTGTACCTTCTTATTAAAGAGAATCGTCCTATAACCCTCTGGCGAATTTAAAATTTGCACTTTTCAAATTTGATGTTTAAGTTTGTCTATTCTGGCAACTAACCCCGTTGGAAGCTTTAATAAAGAAACAAGTCTTGCCTCATGAGCTTTTTCCCCTAATGTATCAGTTCTAACGAAACTGCGACATTGCTAAAATCGGAAATCGAACTACAGACAAACTACGAGATGTATTCTTGTATCCATTACAGGTTGATACACTTTTAAATTAAAAGTTGATACACTTTTAAATTGTTGCAGATGTTTGTAAATATCTTTTGATTGCATAATTTCTTTTCTAATAATTACTGCAGCAATTTTCCTCAGTCGAAATATTTTTTCGCGAAAGTTAGATTTTTTCATATTTTGTCGTTTTATAACATTTTTCAAAATTGTGAGTTTAAAATTTTATGAGAGAATTTGAAATTTTTAGTGCAAAGGAGCTTTGTCCCTGAAGGACTATTGTTTTCGTTTTGCGATTTTGCGTCGGAACACTATAAACGGCGTATCACTTTTCAAATTGTTGCCGCCAAATATTATCGCCCTGTATTATATTAGAAGAAATTAAATAATGAAGAATCTGCATAAATGCAGTATATATGTTTCTCGCATTGTGATAAAACAACGGTACCTAGAGCCATCAAATTTTGAATAACGTTAGTCTAGACTATAATATTGGCATTTGGAAGCCCGAATTTGAAATTTGTTTTAGTATCGATTTCAAATTTCGTAACACTTTAACGTATGAATTTTTGATTAACAAACTCAGCGATTTAAAAGCCAGCAATGGCAACACTACGGGGCGAAAAATTATCTCCAGATTGTGTATCGGAAATTCTAAAGATATGCTCATTTTAAAATTATTTCGCGACATTGTTGTTGAACTGAATTTTCTAGTTTAAGTGAAAAGACCATGATATTTAATAAATAAAGGTACGCACAAGACGTTAAAAAAAAGTCCCTTTGGACGTAAGTTAAAATCTGAAGCCTTTCAGTTTTTTTTTTTTTTTTTTTTTTTTTTTTTTAAATATCCCCAATGCCGCTGGAATAGAAGCCGCAAAACTATTTTATAAATTATCCTTCTTGTGGATAGCGCAAGTTCTCAAAATCATACATTTAGCTTGAAAGGGATTATTTGATTAATGATGAAGCACGTTAGATATACCTGATAAGAGATAAGACGTTTTTGCAGAGGACTATCTGAGGAAATGTCTCATATTCTTGTTAAAGATGAGAAGAACCACAAAAACGCCCATGAAACCAGCCTATTCGTATGAATTGGAATTCGGGTCTAATTATTGGTCTTATGCACTCTGCCACTGGTGGCTCCCCATACATTTAGAAGACATGTGTAGAGACAATAGGATTTTTTTTAAGCGGGAGACGTGAAAAGTGGGCAATGCCCTCGCGGGATCCGAGCCTGGACCTCTCGAATGCCTTTACACCGAATGTGCTACATCACGAAGGCATGTTGGAAGGATGGAGAATATGCCTAAAAAGGGTCCCCCCTTTTTAAAGAGCAACTGGGGCCTAAAGGGCCCAATCGCCCAGT